ATCGAGACCTGAGGATGCTTTGCATATTGTAGAAAGCGAAACCGGTCGTCAGATAGTTAAATTAAATTGATTGTGAGTAAGTCTTACTTATTATTTCTTTACCAATTGGCTTATACTTTTAATTTATTCTCGAGAGGAGAATAGCTACCTCCAGAATGGAAAACTGCATATATCAGCAATCTATACAAAAATAAAGGCGACAGAAAAGATTGTAAGAACTACCGAGGGCTTAGTGTAACTAACTCAATCTGTAGAGTCTACGGGAAGATAATTAAAAGCCGAATTGAAGATTGTTGGGAAGACGCTGAAGATCAGAGTGGCTTTCGTACTGGTCGTTCTTGTATAGACAATGTGTTCTGCCTAAAACAAACAATAGAAAAGCGTTTGGAACATAATATGGAGACACACATGGTATTTATTGATCTTCAAAAAGCGTATGACAGTGTCCCATTAGCCAAGCTATGGCAGGTGCTAGAAGACAAGAATATTCCACCGATTTACATTAATGCTGTAAGGGAGTTGTACGATGATATGACGAGTGTAATAAAGATTGGACAAAAAGTGACAAAAAAGATAAAAGTGACAAAGACTTCGCCACGGCTGCTGCATTGCACCTACACTCTTTAAGATTTATTTGGAGGGGGTTTTGGATATTTGGAAAAGAAAATGTGAACCTATAAGTGTTAAAATTGAAGACCATACACTGTACAGCTTGCATTTTGCTGATGGCCAAGTAATACTTGCAGAAGATCAAGATGATATCCACTACATGTTACGAAAAATAGATGAAGAATATACTAAGTGGGGCTTATCAATCAATCCATCAAAAACAGAGTACTTAGTAGTGGGAGGTGAAGGAAAGCACTTAGAACTAGGAAGCAAACAAATTCAAAATACTGATAGCTATGAATATCTCGGTGTAAACATTACAAACAATGGTCGGTATACAAAAGAAATAGCTACTGGAATTGGTCAAGGAAATTCAGCAATACGTCATCTGAATAGTATACTTTGAAATAACACATCACCCGAAAACACAAAAATTAGGATATACAAAAGTATCATAGAAAGCATTGCTATATATGGTTCAGAGCTTTGGGTAATAAATAAAAATGACGCATCCAAAATAAAAGCAATGGAAATGAATTATTGGAGAAGATGTTGCCAACTCACTAGAAGAGATAGAGTAAGGAATACTGAAATCAGAGAGCGTATGGGCATAGACATTGACATCCTGGAAACTATAGAATGCAAAAGGCTGAAATGGTATGGCCATGTAAAAAGGATGAATGATCAACGATGGTCAAAGAGAATGTTACAGTGGATCCCCACCAACCGCAGGAAAAAGGGAAGACCAAGAAGATCGTGGAGGACAAGAAGTAAATGGTGCAATGGAAAATAGGGGTCTACAAGTAGATGACTGGAATGATCGCAAGCGTTGGAAGCTAGGTTGCGAGAAACGGCGGCAGCTGTAATAAACTCGTTATATATACAAAACAATGTCGTTATCTGTATATATTCGAGCTTTCGCAAAATTTATTTGCTACACCAGGATATGCTAAATTAAGTTTAACATATTTTTTCAGTAAATACAATGAAATCAAAACGAAAAGAATATTATATAAAATATAAACATTGCACACACTCTCTAAAAAGAAAATTAATAGTTTCTAGTTATTTTGTACAGATAAAATATAATTTATTGGTTAAAAGAAGTATTACAAAAAAAACATTGGTAAAGTTTGAAACTTTAATGTATTTCCTAATTATTTTTGTTATTTAAAAAAAAAAAGAATATAGTATTCCAGTAAGGTATATACCTAGTTAAATTTAAATAAATACAATGAACACTCGCAGTATCAAGACATGACCTACTTGAACCATCCTTATTGAACAACTCCTCTGGAAATGATTCTCGTGGCTCAAACCAGAAAGGTTCTAACAAGCGACATCCTGAGATATACATTGTGAGAAGTGATAAAGAAAATATGACAGTTGCGATGTACAAAGAAGACTACTACAATAAAAGTTTTAACTTTTGAATGCCACTAAATATTATAAAAAAAACTACAAAATAAACCGACAAGTACCTTACAACAAAAAGCTAACAATATCGTTAATGAATTGAAAAATAAAAAAATGATCACCAAAGAAGATACTTACAACAAATCTTTTTTGCTCATAATGATCTAGAAAGCGTAAAAAAAGTGAATCTAATGAAACGCGTATGGCAGAGCCAGGGTCATTTGTACATTGAGAATTCAAACCAGCAAAAAATTGTGCCATAGATCTTGCTTTTCCTCTTATAAAAGCCGCAGCCCGAGCGCCCGTCCTGTCATAAGCGCTTCATTAGCGAATAAAAAACAATATATAAAATTTAATAAGCCCAAAATACTTATCAAGAAATAATTGAACAAGGTTTTACATTGAGTTTAGGTCCTTGGTTAATTCAAAAATAATATTTTTTGTGTTTTTGAGTCTTGAAAATCGAAATTTTGCGTTTTTCTCAGTTTTAAATTGTTTATAACTCAAAAACGATCAAGTTTACAGAAAAATGATAAGAAACCTATTTTGTTCAGTATTGTTTAAACCATTTTAAAAAAATTGTCTGGAACCAAAAAATTAATTGTTACATTTGCTAAAAAAATTGTTTAGGCGACCTCTTGAACTTATTTTGAGGTATCTTATGACAGTGATTATGCAAAAAATCTCATGAGAATATTTTTCCAACGAACCCTTTTCCGAACGAGTTTTTCGTCTTGTCTGTTCCTAAACCTACATAAAATTAAAGCATTATAATTGTTAGTACCTTAAGAATTTTAATGGTTAGTGATATTGTAAAAATATTAATGGACTAACCTCATGCTGTAAGTTTTTATGCTTGTGTTATAGCATATCCTGATGAAGCAAATAAATTTTACGAAAGCTCGATATTTACAAAGAGTTTCTCTTATTGTGGCCCTTTAAAATTAATTACTGCAACCTCAAAATAATACATATATATATATATATATATAATATATATATATATATATATTATATATATATTATATATATATTTATATATATATATATATATATATATAATATATATATATATATATATATATATATATATATATATTGTTATGATATGTAAAATCGAGAAAGATATTGGTTTGTCTAAAATATTTCAAGATTCAAAAACATTAAAATAATTCAGATAATTAGGATAATACCCAACAAACATTTCGAAGAAGGAAAATATTTAAATTTTTGGATTACCTGTATTAAACAAAATGTAAGCTAAGCATAAATTATTTCCTTTGTTATACTATACTTGAGTGACCCGCATAATTTTAAGTGAAATCCCAAAGACAATTGAACCGGGTTTTTCCAAATACATTAACGCAGCGATTATAGACAATAGAAGAGATTTGGAAAGATGTTTTTGTTAGTTTTTAAGAATTATAGAAAAATATTATTTGTAAATAAGTTTTAGGAAATTTTATAATTATAGGTAAAAATTTGTTTGTTATCGGAATGAAAGAATGGGGAATTGTGACGAGTTTTGATTGGCGGAGATTAAAAAAGGTGGGATAGGTATGTAGGAATGAAAGTTTAGCTAGAATTTTGAGGGAGAAAAGATAGTCAGTTGGTTTCCAAGGGTGCAAGGCGAACGGCCGTTGTTCTCGGGTAGTTTCCCAGAGGTAGGAAGCAGTAGCAGTGAAAGTTTGTGAGTTTTCGTGTAGTTAGTGTATCTGACAGAAGCTGATCCAGTAAAATATTGTAAGTCATATTTTTCTACTTATATTCCAAGAGTCACTGTTCAGGCCAACGAGAGATTCAGTTTATCGTAAAGAAAAGATATTCCAAGAGTCATTTTTCACTCAGGCCAACGAGAGATTCAGTTTATTGAGAGAAGAAGAAGCTAGCATAATTTGAACGATTCGTGCATTTGAAGGAGATCATTAAGGACGAGATACTTGCAATAATTTATTGTAAGATTGCTGATTACTTAGGGAGCGGCCACGAGTAAATAGTATAGTCTACAAATAACAAGGATTTGGACCACTCATCATCAGAGAGAGATAGTTTTGTTTTCTGCAGTTTTTCTTTCATTGATAACAAAATTTTTACACTTAATTTAGAAAGGATATAAATATTTTGATTAGGAGATTTAGAGTAATACTTGGATTTTGAGATTTCAACTAATATTGTTTGTACCATTAATTTTGAAGGTTCACGTACGTAGAACAAAATTTTGAGAATCATTATATGAGATTTGTTTATCGAAAACATTTGAGTGTGAATTATTTCATTATTTTATTTCAATATATAGTGTTATATCATATGTGTTTTTTATTATTCCGGTATTCTTTGGACCTTACCTTTCACATGTAATAGCATAGATATTGAAGCACGAATAAAACCCTGAGATAAGAGAATTAAAAATTGTGATAGAAACATAATCATATCATTTAAATAATTTTAATTAATCAAAAAATTAATTAGCTAATTATTGCTTGGCGCACCATGACTTTAAATATCACAATAACATATATATATATATATATTATATATATATATATATATACTATATATTATATATATATATATATATATATATAAATATATATATATATATATAGTATATATATTATATATATATATATATATATATATATATATATATATATATGAAAACTAATCACCGCTAATATTATCACCATAAATACAAGTCAGGTCAGTTTTATTTTTAAGCGGGAGACTGTCACTGAATATTTTGGGCTCTGAACGTTCAATTCCTTAGAAATGGAAGTCAAGTGGCACATAATTTTTAAAAGTATTGAATTTTCTTACCAATCGTAGTCTAATTTAATATTTATTATGGAACTTGCCTACACTGAAATTAATAATTGCAAAGCTAGTATATAAATAAAAATTATTATTCTATTGTGACTTACCACTTATATTATTTTTAAATATTCCAATATTTCACAAAATACATACATACATACCTCTTTGAACATAAAGAATCACAAGAACACAAAACAGAAACCCTAAGCGGGTAGTTTTACCCATCTTTATCCACTAAGACGTTCCATGAAACTAGCGAGGAAATGTTCCACATTTCCTTAAATATAGAGATGGGGCGCATACGCGAGAATGACATTTATTGAAATTGGCATATATAATAACAATTTTCTACTTTACTTGGATATATTTACAAAACAATACATAGGCGTGTAAGTGAGAATTATAACGTCAAAACACTGTCTGGAATAAGGTAAGAGATTTATAATATTTTTAACAATATGGCCGCGAGAAAAGGATTAAATCAATGAGATAGTGAAGAATCTGACGATGGTAAGAGAAAGAGGGAGGAAAAAAGAAGACGACCAAGATGAAAACCCTTTCATGAAAAGCAGAAAGGTAACTAGGTCTCCACCTAAGAAAGATTGTGATAATACCGAGTTGAAAGAAATGATGATCGCTTTTATGAATGAAGTTAAAGGAGTACGAAAAGACCAGCAGATTTTTCAAGAAGAAATTAGCAATTTGAAAAAGGAAATCGTGAGTTGAAGGGAAAGGTAAATTTCCTGGCAAGCAGGATCGAAAAGATGGATAAACAAATTCGGAAACAAAACATTGTGATCAAAGGACACGATTTCAAAGAAACTGAGGAACTGGAAGATGCCACCAACTTTATAGCGAGTCAATTGAATGTGAATGTGAAAATAAAAGATGTGCAGAAAATAAGAACCTCTCAAGGAAACCACCAGTGGCGATAGTAAAAAGTAGATACAATGAAGGATAAAGAACTTATTATGAAGAATAACAGTAAATTAGAGGAACGCGGTATTTCATTGAAAACGATCTAACCCAAGCCGAAGCCAAACTACAGAAAAGAGCTAAGAGATATAGCGAGGGAAGAAAAGGAAAAAGGTAATGAAACAAAAGTCCGGCTATCAGAAAATATGTATAAACGATGAATGGTGGAAATGGAACCATAGTACCGAAAAGCTAGAGAAAATGAAAAAAAACTGAGTCTACACAGGCACAGTGGTCAGGAAAATATAGAAACGAATAAAGCGTGGAATAGGATGATGATAGGACAATGGACTCTTAGAGGGACTGTTGAAGTAGGGGCACTAAAGAACTTATCAGATACGTTAGAGGAATATGAGATAGATATTGCAGCTATACAAGAAACTAAACAAAAAGGAAATTTCACCATAGATGTGGGAAAATACGTGTTTTTCAACAGCGGAGACAATGAACGTGTATTTGGGGTGGGATTTTTTATAAAGGAAACATTTGCCAATTTGGTGATAGATTTCGAGGCAGTCACAAGCAGATTATGTAAAATAAGAATAAAAGGAAAATATAGAAAAGTAACTCTTATACATGTGCATGCACCAACAGAAAATACATATGAAGACGTTAAAGATAGCTTTTATGAACAATTAGAACATATGTTTTACAAAATACCATCATATGACATAAAAAATAATTGTAGAAGATTTGAATGCCAAGATGGCAGGGAGGATGTATGCAAACAAATAACAGGGGCAAAAAGTAAACATAGAGACGGTAATCTGAATGTAAAAAGAGTAATAGAATTTGCTTTCGAACACAATATGCGAATTATGAGCACTTATTTTGATTACAAAGAATTCATAAAGGTATCACCTGGGTATCACCAGATGGACAAACAGTAATCCAAATAGATCATTTACTAATAGAAGCCAAACATATGAGAGCCATAAAAGATAGCCGAAGTTACAGAGGTGCTGATGCAAATTCGGACCACTTTTTAGTCAAAGTTAAAATGGCAGCAAATAATACCCACAATTATTACACACTAGTTGTAAAAAAATAAAAAGATATAACGGTACACTACTTCAGGAGGGAGAAGTTAGGAAAAAATTCAGGTAGCAAATTGAAGAGAAACTGAAAGCCAGACAACAGTAAATGATATAGAAAGCAGATAAGTACAACTAGAAGAACAAATTCAAGAAACAGCCAACTCAGTATTATCAAGAAACAGAAAATGTAAGCAAACGGATTGTATGATGAGGATTGTAAGAAAGCCATTAGTGAACCGAAATAAAGCTAGAATAAATACGCATAAACGAAATAATGAAGAGAGTAAAAAAGCTTATGCCCAAAAAGACGGAAGCAAAGAAGATCTGTAGAAGGAAGAAGCGGTCAAGCTTAGAGCAAAAACTAGTTCGTATTCAAGAAGATTTTTTACATAAACAAGTCAGGAATTTCTACCAAGAAAATAAAACGAGACCGAACCCAGTACAAAACCACATCAAGATATTATAAAGATAAAGAGGGGAATCTGTTAGGTGGGAACAGATGAAAAATTAAGAAGTGGGCCAATTATTTCGAGAACATATTATGTACGGAACGACCAAGATTAAAGAGAACAAACGCAACTACAACATGAAGAAGTAAGGGACCCAGACGTAAATGAAGAAGTACCTACCAAGGAAAGAAATTATAGAGATCATAAAAAACTTAAAAACCAACAAAGCACCTGGTGAAAATGGTATCATTGCTGAGTTTTAAAAGAAGGGGGCGAAATGGTGCAAGAAGAAATCGCTGAGTTAATACGCGAAGTGATGGATCGAAGAAAAGATACCCAATCAGTGGAAAGAAGCAATCTTATGTCCAGTGCATAAAAAAGGAGACGTTACAGAATGTAAAAACTTACAGGGGAATAGCTCTACAAGATACAGTGTATAATATTCTGGCCATATCAATTAGAAATAAAATTAAAACAAAAGTTGAAAATTGTCTAGGTGAATATCAAGCAGGTTTCAGGGCAAACAGATCGGTAACAGACCAAATTTTTACAATGAAACAAATATTAGCTAGCTCATATGAATTCAACCTAACATTACACATGCGTTTATGATTTTAGTCAGGCATATGATACTATAAAAAGAAATAAAAGTATATGAAGCACTAGAATATTTTGAATTTCCACCAAAAATAGTAAGACTGACTACATGCATGCTCAATGATACTAAAAGTAAAGTCATGTTAGAAGAACGGGTTTCGGATAGCTTTATCACCAATTAGAGGTCTGCGACAAGATGGCTCCGTTATCAACAGATTTTTTTAATTTGATCTTAGAGAAGATTTTACGAGAATTAATATCTACACTAGAGGCACAATATATCATCACAGGCATCAATGTGTAGCATATGCAGATGATGTTATCTTAATAACAAGGAGACCTGCAGAATTAAGAAAAATCTTTACTAGAATAGAGAGAATAGCCAGGGAATATGGTTTAGAAATAAACGAAGAAAAAATACAAAATATATGGTGATGAGGGAAACGAAAATCATCTAGGACAGTTCTTTAAGATACAAAGCCCAAGTGAAGAATATAACTTTAAAAGTTTGTTAGCCAATTCGATTACCTGGGAGTGGACACTAACAAATAGAACGAAGAGAACCAAGAAATCATAAAAAGAATGGCCAAAGGTAGTAAGAGTGCTGGGAGCCTGACTAAGATACTGAGGTCGAAGATAATATCCAGAACAGCAAAAAAAAAACCTACAGTACTCTATGCTAGCGAGACCTGGACACTTAATTAAGATATGGAAGTAAAATTAGAAGATGGGAACGAAAAATGCTTAGAAGGATATACGGAGGTGTAAAAGAGGGAACGTCTGGCGAAGAAGAACGAATGAACAAATAATGGCAAATATATGGGCAACCAAAAATAACAAGACTCGCTAAAATTCAAAGATTAAGATGGCTCGGGCATATAGCAAGAATGAAGGAAGGAAGAGTTCCCAATGAATTAATAAATACGGAGGCCGGTACAAAAAGAAAAAGAGGCCGCCCCCGAAGAAAATGGCTGGAGTCGGCAAAAGAAGATCTGAAGTCGCTGCGGGTACAAGATTGGAAAAACTTAAGCACAAGATAGAAGAAGAAATGGAAGAAAACCGTTGCACAGCCTTGGGCCTTTGAGGCCTGTTGAGCTGAACTATATATTATATTTATAATATATATATATATAATATATATATATATATATATAACCAGGGTGAGTCATGAGGAACTTTACATACTTCTACCATATGTAGAGTCCCTCAGGGAGCATATCATGTGGCCACTAAAAAATGTCAACTCCTCTTCTTTATTAATTAACAGGGTGATTTGTGTAATTGACCATTTATTTCATTTTACTGTAGTGTTTTATACGGCTCATTTGATTTTTTTAATTTTTGCATGATACAGTACACTACTATCAAGCATTCGACTGGTATTAGCTAAACTAAAAAATTCCAGGACTGGCTTTGGAAAAATTAATTTAGGGATTCGTATTAAATATTACACCCTGTATATATATTTTTTAAAATGCAATAAGTGATTTTCAAACTACATAAATAGCCAATGAAAACGACATATGCGACAATGTTGTCGCACTTTTATTAAATTTTTAGTGAACGATCAAATCTTACCAAAAATAGAACAACCATAATGAAGTATCAAATTATAAGGTATTAATTTAAACAAATGTTATAAATTTCAAACATTTTAATTAAAATGAGTTCCTACAACATAATCTAATACGTAGAAAATTAACATCTTTACTGTCACTTTGTATTATCTCTACGATAGAATCAATTGTTTTTCAATTTTAAATTTTTACTCATAGATCGTATTGGGGCATTATTTTCGATAAATAATAAATTAAATTGATTAAAAAGTCAAACCTCTTGTATGTGTTAGTTTTTGTTGATTGTAAATGATTAAAATTTTATGTCAAATAATAATACATTGCATCAACTGTACTAAATAAAAATAAATCTAAAAAAGTTTAAAATGAAGGTTGGCGTTGACCGTTTGACGTTTCTTGATATTTTATACCCATTGTCATTATTGTCATTATCAATTGTTATTTATGTGTACAAGAATACATATTTCTTCTGTCATATCTACGTTAAGTACATTGTGTTAGTTTTGGTAGAGCTTTTGTTACTTTCGTTCAAAATGCCACATCAGTTTTCGACCACAGAATATGCAGACATAATATTTGTTTATGGATTCTGTAATGGGAATGGTAGG